AAATCACGCGGATTGCCCGAAGAGGCCCTTCAAAGTTACTGTTCCACAATTACCGTGCACACAAAACGAAAAGGCAACGACCCGTTCAGACTATAACGGATACATGACGAATTAACACATTCACAAGGAGGCAACTAGGAAAGAAGGATGCAACAAGTTAGTCATGACAATACACCACAGTACAAACATACAAAAGAGCTCGGCCACATCAATAAACAACTCGGTCACAGAGCAGAAAGGAATATTTTTTCATTTCATCAAAGGTACATTGAGATTACAACAGAATACAAGATCTGATGAATTCGACGAAGAATGCAAAGGAAATCATTCAGCACGAGGTTGCAACCCTCGAACCAAGATTCGACATTACCAGGCAGGATAAAACAACTCAAACGTACTTTTCTCCAAAGGAAGGGCGCACATCCAAGATTGCTATAGGTGACAGAGAAGGCACCCACAAGTCATCCAAGATTGACAACGATAACCTGGAAGAACCCGGCACCATCTCTCAACACGTGCTGATCTGTATTGGACTGAACCTAAATGGCACAGCAGAAGACCGAATAATGGCTGATCTACAACGGACTATCGAAGAACAAGCCGGAACACACGCCAATCATCACTGTAAGAAGAACAAAAAAGAAAAGGCAGGCACTGGAAGATGAGGCAACGCAACATGCATCACTCACATCACAAGTCCTACACCATTTGCCTCAATATCCCTTACAGCTAAATACCACCTCGAGACTAGCCTGCTACTAGTCTCTATCATAAGACCTACACCATTTACTAGCAGAAGAAAACAGAAGAAAGAGAACAGGCCCGGGGGCCCGTCGAGCTCCCAAACTATAATATCCATGACTACAAAAAGAAGAAGAAGAAACTGCACAGCAGGGTATCAGCAACAGGCCATATTTATAGCACAACTCAGATGCACATATGCCAGACTCATGGAAGAAAAAAGAACTCCAAAAGGACAACCATGTGAACCACTGCAGAGCCAGGACTTCAGTAAAAAATCAGATGTGACTAGACCATCACGAAGGAACAGTACATACCCAGAACAACCATAGTACAAGATAAAAGCACATTCAAGAGAATATTCCACAGCAGCAATACAACCCGTGAAGACACATTGAATTCTCCAACAACCAGAATGACAGCAGCAATAAGCAGCCGAACAAACAAATCGGAGACGTGTGAAGGATCACATACAAAATTACAGTGTCAAAGGATTATAGTTGAAAAAGAACTCGGACGGAGAAAAATTATAAATCTCATTGATCGAAGACAAATACAAAGGTTACAGACGGTCAAACAGGACCGGATAAACTCAGACATAAGATAGAGACAAGATTCTTAAATATTGCAACAAGGAACCTAGTGGCGGCAGCAGCGGCAACTCGGACGCAGAAGAACAGATAGAGCAGCATGATCATTACCAACCAAGCATAAGCCCGGGGGCTGCTCAACCTCACACACCAGCATATCTACGAATGAAGAAAGAATTGAAGAAGAAATTTCCTACTCAAGGAAGAACCACAACCAACAAAGAAGGTATTTATAGCAAACCAGAGGTAAACAAGGCTAAAGATCACAAGAAAGAAAGAGGAAAAGAACAAAAGAGCAAAGCAACAAAGGCGAATAGTACCCAAAAGCAAGATTCGACAAAAAAAAAGTAAAGAAGACGCCACTCATGGCTATACAAGACCCATCCGTGACCAAAGAAAAGACAAAGATCAAAGGAGTACAAATCAAGATTTTTTTCCGGCTTTTTTTCAATGTAAAAGAACCGGAGGAGAAGGCTGGGGGCTGCAAGTACCTACCACATAAAAACATATTTTTAAAATTTTGACCCTCCAGCTTTTTGTACCAAAAAACAGAAGGCTCGGGGGCTACACTCAATGAGTGCAATTTTTGCAAAATTGCACTCAAAGGAAAAAGAACCCGGAGGACATCAAGCAAAAGTGCACATCAGCCAAAAGAAGAATCAAAGAAGACTATCTCAAGATTTCACTTCAAGAAGGACCCGGATCAAGACTACAATAACTCGGCCCTTGAAGCTCAATCATGAAATGCTCGGGGGCTTGTCGATGGGGAACCCTACGGGCCCTCCATGGACCATACTGCAGGGAGGTAGACCTTGGTAACAAGGCCTACAGCCCAATCGCCAAGAAGAACGCGAAGCAAAGCAACGTGCAAAACCGAAACTCCAACACAAACTATACAAGGAAAGGCACCCGAAGCGTAGCTTAGGACTCTGACCTTGTATCCGAATAGGACACAAACAACGCCGCTTAGTGCCTAGACTATAAAGGGCTGGTGAGGGTACCCATTGTGAAAAGAACACATACCCGATACTCAAAGCAATACAACGCAAATAGGCTAACGCCAAAACTGGACGTAAGGTTATTACTCGACCAAGTCGAGGGCCTGAACCAGTATAAATCGTGAGTCTCTTTGCGTAACCGCCGAATTCCACTATTCGCCGAAGCCCAAACAACTGTCCCGGGTACCCCCGTGGCAGGCTATCGGTGGTAAAACATCGACAAAGGACAACACAAGGGTAGAGTTGGAAAGGGGTATAGATGGATTCCTATAGCTTTAGGTCTTATGAATAGCGAAACTCTACTTCTACTTGCTTGCTTCAGGCACTGGAGATCACCTAGTCTACCAAGCGATGTCAGTCTATAGCTCTATGCTGTACCCGAACATGGGGGGTTGTAAGGGACGGACAGGGCTGTCACCACCTGCCGCCTACCCCTCAACCGTAGAATACGAGGCAAACGAAGGTAGCCTCTAGCCTAGACACCACATCTACACTACCGACTACTACTCTAGTGGTTCGAAGGGCAATCTGTCTTTATCAGGACCCTCTCACTAGAGTATCCGCTACGAGAATGGACGACGAACCCGCAAACAAGTAAAGGTAAAGCGCAACTAAACAAAAGGCATAAAAACTATAAGAACCACGAACACTTACTTAGCCAAGATCCCATTAAGGAGCCAAGCAGGTGTTTGTCGAGGTACAAGCTCGGGGAGACACCGACAAGCCCGGCGCTTCCCCGCTCTCTTCCCTCACATCTCACTTTCTCACTCTAGCTGGCTACTAGGGCAGAGCCCTTTGGAAATGAAGCTCAAGTGGTGCTCTTTCTCCCTTGGAATGTTGTTGTGAGGAAAGGAGAGACCCTCTATTTATAGGAGGAGGGGGGAGAGAATGTCCAAGGAATATCCCCCTTTACTCCCTCAAACCGACCTCACCACCGTTATTCAGCGCATTAATTGCACCGACACACCCCGCCACCGTCTTAGGTCTGTCGGCATGGGCCACCTGGAGAAAACTTGGCCCGAGAGAAGCCAGAAAGGGTGCGGTCGTGCCCCTAGCTCGTCCACTCCTAACGGGCCTCTGTTCGGCCTGTTCTTGGTCCTGTTGGGCTTCTGGAATGCCTAGGGGCCACCCCAACAAGTTGGGCCTTATTTGGAGATGGTTTGCTTTGTGATTTGGCCTATTTATCCTCCTGAACGGGCCCTGACTTCTTGGGTTATGTATTATGCATGATGTAGAGCCCATTTATGGTGGTTTCCAGAGTTGTCCTCCCTCAAGTGATGAATCACCGAAACTTGTGGAAATCATTAGTTGTAAGCCCTAGTTCTAAGTTTTAGTATTCATTTTATGTGAATGTTGGCGGTTAAAAGTGTGAGTTAAGGACCGCCAACAGAGATGCTCATGATGGTTGGGGATCTCATGTTCTTCCATCAAATATTCTGCTTTTTCCCTGGTACTCGGGTTCAAATACCCATGGATTTTTTTGTTTGGTTACTGGCTTCATATAATTCCGAAACACAAATTTTCTTGAAGCCTCTTGCTCATATCTCTCATCAAAGGGTGCTATTCTATAATGTTTCTTTAGCAGATCCCCTGCTAATCCAAGCGAGCTTTCAAATATTTGTCCCACATTCATTCGTGAGGGGACTCCTAAGGGATTGAAGACCATATGTGGATCTCGAAAGATAGGAAAGATCTCCCTCCAAGCCATACATACGACTTTCATCGAATACGGCTTTCCACAGAATTCTATATGGATCTATGAGATCTAGTATGGAATTCTGTTTACTCACTTTAAATTGAGTATATGTTTCCCTCCTTTTCCCGCTAGGACCAGAAATCCTATATTTTCCATATCCATACGATCGAGTCCTTAGGTTTCCGAAATAGTGTAATGGAAAAAGAAGTGCTTCGAATCATTGCTATTTGACTCGGACCTGTTTTGAAAAAGTCAAGGTATTTCGAATTGTTTGTTGACACGGGCAAAGGGAAAACCTCTGAAAGAATTTCCATATTGACCTTGGACATATAAGAGTTCCGAATCGAATCTCTTTGGAAAGATCTTTTGTAGATGGTGTTTATCCTTCCTTGCCTTTCTTCCTTCTCTTCTTCACTTTATCTCTCTAGTTCACCTTGTTCATCCTTTTTCATGTAGAGAGAGAGGGGGGAGAGTGGGTGAGAGAGTGAGTGGAGTTGGCCCTTCTCTACTGAGGACACTTTCCATTTCGTGCTCACTAATGGGTCCCACTAGAGAGTTGAGGACAGCTCATTCCAATCCTAATTCTGCTGAGCTCATTCCAAACCGAGGGTTCCAAATTTGTAGACGTTTGTCTTTTGTAATTACAATCACTTTTATCTACATCACAGTGTATATCTAAGGCCATACTCATTAATATATCTAAGTACATAGCTAATATATCTAAGTACATAGCATATGCTATGTATCTAGAAAAGCATAATATGTCTCCTAATTTATAGAATGCTATAATTTAGAATAAAGAGAACAGAAAGCAATGTAACCATAAAATGTAATCATTACACTCATTTTAAGAGCACAAAACATCATTCATGTTTTTGAAATTTAATTTAACATAAATTAGATTCAAACACAACACAATATTTAGATGACATGGTAATTTCCAACACCGGAACTTATCTCCTACTAATATCCTTTCTAGAATCTTGCCAACTGCCTCGAATCGAAACAGCCTCTCCTTCCGTAGGGGTTCGAAGGACCAATTCCATGCCTCTTTGCACCGTCCACTTTCCTCATCTTTCGGTGTTTAGATGCACTACTGTCCAGGTCCAGATTGACTTTAGGAGGGTTCTTGAAACAGAAAGATGCAGCAACTTTCTGAAAGACATCAATGAATTAGACACAGCCACCCAACCAAAAAAAGAATACTACTTAGAAAACAGACAATTTGCATTTTGCATTCATTGTGTGCTTGGCAACATCAAATATTAAATATAATAGCTAGAGCAAAGATAAATGCACACAAAACAAGGTCTAAGAAATAAATTCACAATTATGTACCTTGAGATCAAGTTGATGGACATCAAAAATGTCTTTCATAGAATGTGAGTTGTAAACCAAAAGGTAGGACCTGTAGGCTTCCTTCGCAGACTGGTTTAGGAAGTAATTCCCCCCAACAATGTTCTCCTGCTCCAAAACTCAAGTTAAATACACGCTAAAACAAAAAGACTGAATTGAAAAAGAGACAACTCACAAGTTGTGATTGCAATTTTGGCACATGCTTTTCACTGAAAACATATTCAGTCAGAGAAATATTGGCTGCCTGCAGGCAAACATTGAATGTGTTACTCCGACTATACAATTATGATTACTATTTGGAGAATCATAATTGGAGATGAAAAAATCCTAAAAAGATACTAAACATATCAATACTTCGAAGCACTCCCTTCCACAACTATTTTGACCATATACTAAGAGGTTCCTATTAATATAGAGGGAGAAGAGAGGGAAGGGGACATTACCTGCAGGTAAATAAGAAACTTCAGTTCTTCCGGTAGTAAGAACAATAATGCACTTCCTTTGCCTTTGTCACCTCGGGCAGTACGACCAACCCTGTGAATGTAATTCTACAAATTAAATTCCAATGTAAGTTAGCAAATTTGAGAAATTAGATAACTTACTTATTTAGGAAGGTTCAGAACCACTTACCTTTGGGTCATCTGGAGGATCAAATTGCACAATATAGTCCTAAACAAGACAAACGATCCTTAAGTTACTAAGGGGTACAGAAAGAAGTGGTAAAATTATAGTCCTAAACAAGACAAACGATCCTTAGGTTACTGAGGGGTACAGAAAGAAGTGGTACAAATGATTTAAAAACACAGGTCAAAACCTTACCACATCAGGAATATCGAGCCCACGAGCTGCCACGTTTGTGCATAATAAGATGCCATTTTTCTCCTTCAAAAATTGGAAGAAGGTACTAGTTCGCTTCTGCTGCTTCTGCTGCCCGTGGATATCATAACACCCTATCCCAAGGAAATTTAGAAATTCTGCATGGAACTTGACTGAGCTACAGGATGAAAAGAACACCATGACCTTCACATCCTCCTTCCTATGCTGCATCCTTCTTAGGAATGCATACAGAACCAGAAACCTTTTCTCGCTAGGAATGACACAGTAACCCTGCTGCAAGCCCTCAACAGTAGGCTGTAAGAGCATCACAATTATTTCTCATACAAAATAAATTAAAAAAATCTTTAAAATAGAGTTGGAGCTCTCTGCACTGGGTAGGCCTGGTGCAAGTGGTAGAGTCTTACCGCCTGTGACCGGAAGGTCCTGGGTTCAAGTCGCGGTCTCCTCGCATTGCACAGGCGAGGGTAAGGCTTGCCACTGACACCCTTCCCCAGACCCCGCACAGAGCAGGAGCTCTCTACACTGGGTACGTCCTTTTTTAAAAAATAGAGTTGGAACAGCATGGTGAAGCAGTCCACACCTTTAATTTAGAATCATCAACTCCAACATAAACAAGTTTCCTTTGTCTTTCTTCATTTTGCCCAAACGTAAAATTCGCAAATTCAACAACCTATGGGATCAAAACACATAAGCAATAAGCAATGGCACAGACACAAAAATAGGGACAAGATTGAATATGCTAATCCTTTAACCTTTTGAGTCTGTGTGGCAGAAAAAAGAACAGTCTGCCTATCCTGCATATGATGCATAACAAATTGAGAACTAAATACAGTAATCTCAGTACAAAAGTTAAATGCTGCACTCTGCATATGAAATGAAGTTGTCAGATTATCACAACCTGAGGGAGTCGTTTAAATATTTGTTTCATATCCTCTTCAAAATTTTGCTCAAGTATGCGATCAGCTTCATCAATTATAAGGCACTGCAACATACAAATAGCCATATTAAAAATAGGGTACATGTAGGTCAGTAATTACATCCACTGCTTTAAGCAGCAATTTTCATGAAATTCAATGTCATTTTCCTGAGAAACAGGACCATTGAACATGAGCCAGCAAGCCTGGACTTGTCCATGGGGCAGCCCAACGCAGCTAACAAGATATTGCATTTGCCAAGCTATGAGTGGGCAGCACAATCGATTCCACCCCAGCCAGACAATATATTTACAGTGCAATTATATATTCGTTTCATTAGAAGTAAAATTTAGTATTCATGACAGATATGGGAGAAAAAAAATTATCTACAGATGCAAGACTTCTACTAGTTCCCACTTAATTCGTTTTACACAAAATAAAAAATAATATAACGCTAAACAGGACCCATTGAACATGAGCCAGACATAATCGATTCCACCCCTTCCCAACAATATATTTGTGTAATTATTTATTCATTTCATTAGAAAAGAAAGTATTCATGACAGATATGAAGAAAAAATTATATACAGATGCAACAATCTACTCATGGCAACTAGTTCCCGATTCGTTTTACAAAATAATAACAATATATCCCATGGGCTTAACAACCCACATAACATGGCTAATGATGAATTAATGATTTTATAAAAAAAATAGAAACTATTAGCTTATACAATTTTGCATATACATGGCATAATGTATGCTGGAATTTCATTTATACTTAATTCAATATTAACAGGTAGACTTCCAGTCATGGGTAACAAAGTGGAAGACAAACACAAATATTGATATATATATATCCTGAAATATAAGGGACCGGAGTTTTTCCTAAGTCAAACTATGCCAGTTTTGACCAAGCTTATAGAAAAGAATTAACATTTATACATCATAATATGCATTTTCATAATGTACATCTTCGATGTTGGACATGATGATACTTTTCTATACAAATTTAGTCCAACTTTGCATAGTTTGACTTAAGGCAAACTTGGATGCCTTACATTTCAGGACAGAGGGAGTAATCAGGTGACTGAAATGCAAATAGAGTAGATAAGTATGAAATTACTGGCTGTATTTGCTATTTAATGTGATAATTAAAATATGCACACTATTTCAACAGAAGTATTTCCTTGAAGATTGGAAAAAATGATAGTAGCCAAAATGTCTTTACCTGTAGCCTTTTGTAGTTGAAACTACTAGTATTTCGCAGATGATCCAGAAGCCTGCCTGGAGTTGCAACTAAGAGATTGATCCCTTTCACAAGTTGATTGGCTTCATTTCTCATGTTAGTGCCACCAATTACATAACCAAGAGTTTGTGAGTGATACTTCATTAATTCCTTGGCAACATTGTGTGTCTAGCACAAAAGAATCAATGAAACACATAATTAGGGATACTCAAGTGTGAGGCCCTACAAACGGAATTTCAGCAAACATCCAACATTTAGATACAGGACATAAAACAGTCTCTTTTATGCATTATATTTAAGCAGCATTATCTCAGAAAAGGATAGTTTTATCTCAGAAAAGGATAGTCTTATCTCAGTCGGTATATCTGATTTTGATTATTTTATTCAAAGCAAGTTGAATAGTCACAAAACATGTAAAATGGAATTAAAGATTAATACTGTAGCGTCATGCATATACCTGGATAGCAAGCTCCCTTGTTGGGCAAACTACAATAACTCCAGTTCCGTTAATTGGCATGAAGCACGCTTTGTGCAGCAGTTCAATTGCTGGTATAAGGAAGGCAAGGGTCTTCCCTGAGCCAGTTTTGGCTGAACCCAGCACATCATTACCTAGCATGAGATGCGGTATTGATCTAGCTTGAATCTGCAATCATGAAAAGAACCACGCATACATGCCATTACAGTGATGCCAAAATCAAACAGTGAAGCAAAGAGCAGATCAGCACACATAACGCATTCATTCGCACAAATATTCAACTAACGCAATCATTCGCACAAATATTCAACTATATGTAGTTATGTAAATGCACCGAGAACAGAAATACATATCCAGAAAAAAACGATGCAATTGCAAATATATAGGCGTAGGCGAGAATGACCTCGGTGAGGTGGCTGTAGTTCATCTCTCTGATCGCCTTGGCAGTGAGCTCGGATATGTAGAGCTCTGAGAAAAGTTTGTTAGTCAGAATTCCTCCACCATTGCCCTTCTTCACATTTTCCTCTTTCTTTGCGATCTTCTCCTTCTCTTCCATCACCATCTCATCCTCGTCCCGCTTCCGCTTCCGCATCCCCTTGCGAATCTCCTCCTTTTCATGTGTATTTTTCTTCTCCCTCGCCATACTCTCCATCCCATTCCCCTTTTCATTCTTCCGCTCCCCTTCCCCCTCCACGCGGGCGGCGTCGTTGATCGACTCTCCCGACTCCGGCAGAGCAACGGGGCTCTTCGACGGCTGGGCCAAGCGGCTACATGAGCTCAGATACATGGAGGCGCCGGGGGCTGCAGGACTCAGCCCGGCTAAAGTCGAACGGTACATGATGGCGGCGGGCGGTGGCGGCGTGCGGCGGCGGCTCGCTAGGGTTGCAGATGTTGGGTAGAGGCAGCGGCGGCGGCGGCTCGCTACGGCGGCTCGTATGTGTGTGTATATATAATAACGGCAAAGCCGGCTTGTGGGCCGATCAAGAACAAACTGCCGCGGTCCATGGAAGTGTGCCCGACCGGCCCAACAATAGCGGTGAGCCTTTTGTGCGTGTTTTCCACAACAACTGAGTCAAATCCATACCGATCCTTAAACTTGTGTGTCCACATAGTGCTAAAAAAAAAGATTAATAAACTTTGAAGTGGGGGAAAAAGATTATTGGATACTGTATCCATCCAAATTTTTTCTCACGCAGGGAACCTTGTATCTAAAACTTTTTCTCGTTCTTGTTCCTCACACAAATCAATGAGATTCAGGATTGGAAGGACGACTCCGACGTACGGTGGCACTCCACCAGACAACCACGGGAGTGAAGATGAGGATCATTCCAGCACGACACAAACGCCGACGCGACGACGGTGGACAGGGTTCAGAACAATTTGGTGAGTTCTTGCTTTGAATTGAAGAAAGGTATGTAATACAGCTAATCATCATCATTATCATCATCATCATCATCATCATCATCTTCTTCTTCTCCGATCTGGCCATCCAACGGTCCCCGTTGGGTGCTGTTTCACTGTTCTGCCACCAGCCTTGATAAGGACGACGACGACCCGATCAAAAAAAAATAAAGAACGACGTCTCTGGAATCTTCCTCGACCTTGTCCTTCCCGTGAAATTTTTGCATTTTGATCCTTTTTAAAAACAATTTTTACAAATAAACCCTGTCGAAACATTTGCTAAAAATAGACCACAACCTCGGCGTATTAGAGCATCACGCAGTGGTATGCGGTTCCGCGCTGTGTCAGTGGACACTGAGGTTTGGCCATGTCATCAACAGTAGGGTTCGTAGGCAGTTGGGCCCACCGAGCTCGGCGTCAGACGATTCAGCGCCGAGGTCCAGACCTCGGTGTGGAACGACTCAGCGCCGAGCCGTGGGCATCTAACCGGCGCGCCCCTCTCCGTCCTCCTCTCCCTCATTCTTTTCCCCGATGCCTCTCTGTTTCCTCCGCGCCCCACGCCCGAACCCTAGGCGTGGGCTCAGTTAACGCCCACGGCCAGAACTCGGCGTGGGTTGACTTAGCGCCAAGGTTTGGCCACTTAAAGCCCGCGGCCCCCTTCTTTCTCGCCTCCCTTCTCTATTCTTTCATCCCGCCGCCGGTTCTCTCTCTCTCCTCTCCGCCCCCCACAAACCCTAACTACCCTATTGGTTCACTACGGCGGCCGGATTTGGCTTGAGGACGATTCCCCGAGGTAATGGCCCTTGCCCTCCCCTACTTTGTCCGGTTGGAATGGGTTGCATTGGTTGGATACTTGTAGAATGTTGGGTACGGTGGTATTTTATGGTTGTTCAAGTATATGTGAAATTCTTGGTTTATTAGATGCGGTATGATTTTTTTGAATGACTTGTGTAGTTTTGATTAGTTTCACTTGTAGTTTGTCACCTGGCACTAGTGTTTTATTGATAGCAGTGGGTTAGTAGGTTATAAGAAAAAAAGCAGATGTGCTATTATTGGTAAATATTTGACCACGACAGGTAGAATGATGGGTTATGTGTAGGAAATATTGAATCCTATCAAATTGTTGTTTGCATTGTGTTGATTGTAATGCATTGGCAGCTGTAGTTTGAAATGTTATTGATTCACTCGTTGCATATCATTATTTGATAATTTTGTCTAGTTTGAATTATGAGATGATGACATGTGACAATATTTGTTGTGTGATGGCTGTAGATGGATAAATTAGTGAGGTTGCATCACGGAGGATGTGTTGTTAGGACAAGAGATAATAGTGTTGAATTTGAGGACATGTTTGAGGATGTATTGATATTTTCTGAGTCTCCATCTTTGAGCCAGTTAGTGGACTAAGTGAAAGTAAGGTCAGGTTGGTCCGAAGGAGACGGTGCATAGTTTCAATGCCAGGCGAGTACGCTGCACGCCAAGAAAATAAATGAAACTGATGCGCTCTCTTTCTCGTCAGTTCGTACTTAACAAAATAAATCCATGAGTATATATATATATATATATATATCGTTCTATTTATTAATGGATTTTATTTTATTTATAAAAGTTGCTTTTCATGCTTAATCTAACAGAACAAACCGTTCGCTAGAATCGTCGTTCGACATTCCTAAATATCTTTACGCACTAAGTAATTTAACTTGGCCGTGTATTTGAGTCCATAAAACTAAGTCACACGGGATTCGCTTATCGCATCAAGTGCATTTTAAATCCAAAAATTTTGAGAAACTCGTTTTAAAAATTTTACTTAAGCCTAAATCGCGGTGCTAATCAAGCTCGTAACACCAGAGGTGTTACACTACGGCCATGGTGTATGACAAACGCTACATGCCCCTCCTGAAGTGTGCAAACCTTGCTACCGTTGCTCATGTCTGTCGTCGTGGGGTGCCACCTTTCAACCCGGCGGCGCTAACAGCGATGATTGATAGGTAGCGCCCCAAGACACATAGTTTCCACATGCCATGGGGAGAGATGACGGTCACTTTGGAGGATGCTGCCATGATTCTTGGACTAAAAATCTGAGGATTCCTAGTCACAAGAGACACAGAGTCCACTGGATGGGAGGATCGTGTGGCTCAGTTCTTGGGATGCCCCTTACCAAAGCTTGCGCCTAGCAAGAAGCGGCGCAGCAGTGGTGTGCCACTAAAGTGGCTTCAGGGAGTAGTTTCAGCAGTGCTCCGCCCAGAGCAGACGAGGTGACCATGAACTACTACTGCAGAGCCTAGGTCCTGCACATGTTTGGTACTATTCTATTTCCTGATGGCACAGGTGACACGGCGTCGTGGATGTACATCCCGTGCCTTCTTAATTGGGACGATGCTAGGACGAGGAGCTGGGGCTCGACAGTATTTGCCTTCATGTACTGCCAGCTGTGCGAGGCTTATAGGCGGTCTTCAGGCTCGCATGCTACAATGTCCAGATGCACTACACTTTTTTAAGGTAAATCAAAACTTATGTAAGTATGAATTCGGTGAATGTTGTTTGTCTAACAAATTTATGTACATTTGCATATTTGGATGTGGGAGAGACTTCCAGTTGGGAGACCGTGGAAGATTGAACACCCTAAGCCTTGATTCCCAGTAGGAGACTGTTGGTATAAATTAATCCATATAGACTAATCCGCAAGCGCAGAGAGACTATACCGATGTAGCACTTCACCGGGAGTACCCAGCTTTATATCGAACTCGAGGAAACGTGTGTGAGAACAACTAATGCTAACTTATCCCAAACTCACAGTCAAGGCCAGACAATAGGGATATAAAGGAGACTGCTAAGGTCTTCTAGTCCTAACTTCAGTAAGCTTATCTTCTATTATTCAATTATGGGGATAATACTTATAAAAAACACAAGCAGAGTATATTTCCTATAGCAAATATGTCCTGCTAGTCCTATCGACGGGAGATGGACTACAGAGGATTCAACAAGGCTATAAAAGTCACCCTCATAAGCTACCACCGATCCAAAAAATAGGGTACATCTACGAGTAACCTAGTCTAAGCACCACGCTTACACTACGAATACTACTTTAACCCAGGAGCTACAAGGATTAAAGTACTCAAAAGTGAGTTGCAAACCTAAAGAATAATATGAACAAGATGCTTACTTGAATTAGAAGTCGAATATCGAAGAAATCTCAGTAGCAAGCTCAAGAAGAACTTGATCCCACCAGATACAAGTTGTAGAGGAAGCACCGATAGGCTGAGACTCCTCTAGAACTCTTCTCTCTCACTCAATCTCTCTCTATTTCTAGATCTAGACTAGATCTATGAAGAACTAATCTACTCTTGATTGCTATGCTTCGGTCCTGGTGAAGATATGAATTAGGGTTTCTGGATCTGCGGCTCTCAGGATCAACTGAGCAATGCCTCAAGGGGCTGGGGTTTGGTTATATAGCCCTAGGGGAGCAACGTCAGTTCTGGGATCAAACCGACTTAAAGAACGGCGGATATGCATCCTAAACATCGGTGGGAGGAATCTTCTAGAAGCTGACACGTAGGGCCCACTGCCTAGGACCGGGTGGCACCAAGGTGGGACCTGCCGGCCCCACCTGGTAGCCTCTCGGGGTCCGCCTGAGGGGGTTGCCTCCTAGAGTCTTCTAGAGTTGATCCCGTGTCGGAATTCCTTTATTTCCTTTGACGTTTTGGTCATCCTTGGCGGTTTTCTGGATATACCCTACTGGAAACACAGATTCATCAAAACTCGTAGAATTTGTTAGTTTAAACCCCAAAGTCTACTTTGGTAATTTATTTATACCCTTTTCCATGTTTAGTTTATGGTTAAATATGTATGATAACTACCATCAAGAATACCCCCACACTTAGGCTTTTACTCGTCCTCGATAAAAGGTTGGATTACTCTAGGCATAATAACCTTAAGACAAGACATCAGCCATAAAACTATTCCTAGTCATGCATGTACTGCAGGATTCAATGTGTCTACCATGAAACTTTGGACGGTTGAAGAATGGAACAGCTGAAACAGATCACCTTCTTCCTTCAGTCAAGTCAATTGGAGAAATATTTTTAGATTTTGAAAACAAAACATAGGTTACCTTCTCCTTTTGTAGTACTCTCAAATCACTATGTATATGGTATTTTTAGATCCTTACCAAGGCATAGGTGATTTTGCCTTCTTTATACCTACTTTTAAAAGCTTATGTGGATCTCAGTAGGGATAAAAATGAAAACACATTTGCATTGCATATATTGTAAAGTCAAAACAAAGATCCAAGGAGAAAGATGTCATACTCTTAGATCAAGATGTGCATGTGTGTAGAATATATGGTGGCTATCCTAATTCTACTATGCTCCTTGAGACATATTTCTCTTGATTGATACTTGAAAAACTTTTTGCAAAAGAACATAGGCTATCTTATTC